AAAAACATATGAGGTTGTAAACAGCGTGCTTCCTGACGGACACACACAGCGTTGAGAGCGGTCAGGTAGGGCAGCACGTGAAGTCAGCACCGATGCAGACTCGCTGTTTGAGGGCTTGATAACCCACTCCCCCTCCACACTCGTTGGTTTGGAACAGCACCTAATGTGGCGGACCCTCCGCGCAAACGTAGGGGTAGTGTGTAGGGGGTGGATTGGAATTGGGCCTAAGAATCATCTCATGCACTCAATACAAATCAAACACTCCATGTTAAGTATTTGGTGTACATGCTGGCTCTGTCCCTACTCTTTGCAATAGTTGGTGTATTGTTTATGTATGTATTACCCCACCTTACGTCTAACTGGGTCCGTGGTGTTTTATTGCTCTAAAGTGTCATTAACCACCAGGTCTTCATGTCCTGATACTAGCAGTTATCTTCTCTGTCCTTGTTGTTCTGCTCATGGTGTTCTCACTATTGATATCAATTTAGGGAGATAAGTAGTTTCATATATTTTGATTAAATCATTTAAAACAAGTGAACTAATGTCCTTGTGTGTCTTTGTGTCTCTTTGTGTGTCTCTGATGTGTTTTTGTCTTGCAGCAGCGGGAAGCAGTCCATAGCCATCGACGACTGCACCTTCCACCAGTGTGTGCGCCTCAGTAAGTTTGACTCGGAGCGTAGCATCAGCTTCATCCCCCCCGATGGAGAGTACGAGCTCATGAGGTCAGTGGATTGGAATATCTGTAAACCCTTCTGTCTGTTATCAGGCTGTCTAATAGACACGAGTAGAGACTGAAAGCATACGATGGTGCCTTCTATCCTTCAATAGTTGTTGTTTGGAGAAATGAACGACAGGCATTAATGAGCACTGAAACAACTTGAGGAAATCCTTGCTTTTGTTACATTATCCAATCTCTCCCCGTCTTCCTGGCAGGTATCGCACCACTAAAGACATCATCCTGCCGTTCCGAGTTATTCCTCTGGTCAGGGAGGTCGGCCGCACTAAACTGGAGGTTAAGGTGGTCATCAAGTCCAACTTCAAACCCTCGCTGCTGGCCCAAAAGATCGAGGTGAGCTCTTATCAAAGTCACGTGCTGATAAACACTAACCCTATCAAACACAGGTCCTATTTCCTCACAGCTCAGACATGGCCTAATGTAATGAGTTTTAAATGATGTTAAACGTTTATCTCTCCTTATTATGACCTCCTCAGGTGCGTATCCCCACGCCCCTCAACACCAGCGGCGTGCAGGTGATTTGTATGAAGGGAAAAGCGAAGTACAAGGCCAGCGAGAACGCCATTGTCTGGAAGTGAGTAGTCCCTCTGACCGTAAATCCACGAGATACAACCTAACGCTGTTTTATGCTCAGTCAGGTTAATGATCCACAGCTGCTCTGTGCCGTTTGCTTGTTTAACCACTCGGACAGTCTTATTCACTTTACACAACTGTTGTACTTATTTATTCTTGTGGGGGTTTCAAAATGGGGTTCCTTGTTGCTGAGATCTATACACTAATCTGATCTGTGTGTGTGTGTGTGTGTGTGTGTGTGTAGGATCAAACGCATGGCTGGGATGAAGGAGTCTCAGATCAGTGCTGAGATCGAGCTGCTGCCGACCAACGATAAGAAGAAATGGGCCAGGCCTCCCATCTCTATGAACTTTGAGGTCAGAACACACAAATAGTTTTTACAGTCTTCCTCTCTGTTACATATAGTTTGTAAATCTGATACTGAACTCATTCATTACACCTCTTCCCAATAACTTGCAGAGCTTCAGTGTATGCTTCGGCAACTATTTTGATAATTGGTTTTAGTAATCTTTCAAGAAAAAATAGTTAAAATTCTGTTTCTCAGCTTCCTAAATGTGAATATTGTTCTTTATCACTCATGACAGTAAACTCAATATATTTAGAGTTGACATTGAGTGTTCTGCTGAAAGAGAGTTTTCAAAAACCAAACAACAAAGAATGTTATCAAAATAATCAATGATAAGACTGAAAATAATCCCGGATCGCATCCCTAAACTAGGAACTAATTTACTCCCTGATTTAAATGAGCTATCTTGTTGCGTAGCTGAACTTTGTACAGCGTTGGCAACCAAACACATGGACTATGGATTAAAAATGATCCCGGTATCAGCCATGCAAATCACTGCAATTACTTTTACCTCATACACACTTCCTGCTTAATCCTCACAGCCACAGTAACAACCCGTATGGCCTACATCTCCCAGCATGCCCCGACGCGTCTTCCTAACCTCCGTCTTCTGGTCCTGCAGGTTCCCTTCGCTCCCTCCGGTCTGAAGGTGCGCTACTTGAAGGTGTTCGAGTCCAAGCTCAACTACAGTGACCACGACGTCATCAAATGGGTGCGCTACATCGGCCGCTCCGGCATCTACGAAACCCGCTGCTAAAGCCCCCTCCCCGCTCCCCCCATCATGCACCCCCACCACCTTCTCACCCCTTCCTAACTACGTGTTGGAGATTGAATTGACATCGTATGAAAAAAAGAGAAGTAAATGATATACTGCACAGATATATGCAAAATGTGAACCATTGTACCGTATATATCTCGTAGTGGTGAGTAAAAACCTGTAAACCAACTGGTGTCCGAAAGAAACAAGACGTGATGCAGGTGGGGACCAGGGGGTGGGGACTGAGGCACCTCTGGGTGTCCCTCAGGGTCGCTCTCTTGTGTTTATTCCACCATCTACTCTCCAGTTACTTTAGAAGTCCTAGAGGGAATCCCGGTAGCTGTTGTGGTTTAAATGAGTACCGAAAGTCCCTGGATATGAACTTCTGTCTCAGTAGAGTCTACCCTTTAAGGTCCAGATGCAGTGACTGATTGTGTATTGTGGACTGATTGATATTGATCTGTTATTTTTAGTCAATTTGGATCAAAAGTCTCATTTCAAAGTCTCTTAGGGATGTTTCAAAAAGACAATGAATTGATAGTGGCTGAACTGTTTTTGTACTTTCTGGAGAGTGTATTGTTTTTTTTCCCCCTTGCTATTTTTCCAATACTAGTGAGCAACATTAAAGAAAAAATGACCATTCCAGTTTTGCGGTCTGAACATCATCCCCTCCTGAGATCTACTTTGTCACACTGGTTTGATTCAAATATGTGTTTGGGGGAAATCAGTGTGTGTGCAGCGAGGTGAGGTCTCCCCCTGGTGGTCCTCCTCGTCACTGTCTGCCTCTTCATGTTTTTAGCCCTGGTGACCGTTCTGTCCAATAAAATCTGACTATGTAACCAACTCTGCTTCCTTTCCGTGTTAATGTTGTATTGTAGAGGTTCAATTTGTCCTCAAGACACTTTTCCAATGTAGAGAATGTCCATTTGATATAGCCTGTTTTGATATGTGAAAGATTTTCAACATGTATTAAATCATGTTTAAACAGATTTGGTAGGAAAGAAGCTACTGTGATTTAGTATTGAAAAATAAAATATTTAAACTATTGTTGATTCTTTTGGAAATAATACATCTTTTAAGTCGGATGCTAATGGCACCCGGCAACCCACAACAAAAATAAACGGTCTCAGTCCAGAAATGCTTTGGCCAACATGTTTAATACACTTTTCCTGTCAACTTTCCTCTACATCCAGGACTAAAAACAAAAAGATACATGATTAAACTGGTTTAAAACATTTACATGTGTACCTAGCAGTGGTGACAGTTATCGGCTTGCCCTTAAGTCTTTTTGCCACCTGACTCCCGGACATGCTGACTGAGAAGTTCACACAGATTCCACAAGAATCGAGGCGAGGGTTCCCAAAAGTTGCTTAGCACAAATCACAGCTGGATTTGCTCTGCTTTTAATTCCTAAAAGTAGCAATTAATAGCGATGGGAATCATTTGAGTTATTTTTCCAACCTTGAAATCTGAATCACACCCTGAAGAATAGAGGCTGTAGCGAAGATTGATTTCATTGTAAGTTCTTTTTGGGAAACCAAGCCTAGCACAGACCAATCTGACATCTGCCAACATTTATATTAGTCATCTCACAGTATTGCATTACATCTTCAGATCAGCTGTGATGTTTCATATTTCAGTTATATAGGAGACGACACGCATTAATGAAGGAAAAGCACACCAAGGCCGGAGGGACTCAGTCACCTTGCTTCAGTGCGGCAAACGGCTCAGAACAAAAAACAATGTTCAAACTTTGTGCTCATCTCAGGAAACTAAATCAGTTCAGGGCAGAAGGAGGTAGCTACATAAACGTTGATCGGGGGTTTTGAGTACAGAATCCCGAACACCAGCAGAAGTCCTGCAGATTGGTGAAAAAAGCTCAATGTTTAAGACAGTGTTTTATATTTTGCCGTGTGACTCATAAAAAAGCCTTAATCATAAAAGTGTGCTTCTAACTCCAACTAACCTCAGATCATATCCATCAAGAGAAGTAAGGAATTGAGACAGTTCTCATGACTTTCTATTGTGTGTATCCAATTTGAATGACTACCTCCCTACAGGCCCAGGGGATGCAGTCAAACAAAGAAAACCGTAACATAACTCCAGCCTGGCTCATGTTGATTCACTGCTCAAACTGTGAAAGTACTTATAAACATAAATGATTAAGCTTATTATCTGTACAGAGGATAAAGACGGATGAAATCTACAAAAATAAGTATTTCTACATCGACATTTAAATGGGTCGTCCTTGCGAGAAAGGCGTCCAGTTTAAAACTAGTCTTCCAAAGACTGATTCTTGTCATAAAAGCAAAAGGTATTACTGTATGCAGTAAAAGTCAAAGCTGAACCCAGATCTGTCAACAGGCGTCCGAACATGCCGACTTGCACTCACAAACATCACATGCACAGACACGCAGAAACCCAAGGCAGGCAGATAAACTTGCAAAGCTGCTGTTTAGTGAAACTCCACTCCCAGGTTCAGATCTGACATCATCTGGAGTTTTCCTGTTAGTTTAAAGTCATGTTCTTGTTAGTATGAGCAGAGTATAAACTGCCCCACATCATTCAATTGTCCAGTTTCCTGACCTGCTCTGAAAGACTTCCAGGAGACGTTTAAAAATCTCAGCTCACCGCTCCCACAACAAACTACACGTGCCGCTCCAGCAAAATACCGAAAGCATACCCTCCCGCTAAAGCCATGACGAAAACACAAACCTCTACTTCACAACGCCAACCTTTAAGAACCCGTCAGTATATGGAAGAGTGCACCCCTGAAAATATCCCTAAGTGCTGGTGAGAGACTGATTAACTCGACATGAAAAGTGACGGAGATAAATCAAACTAATATTCAAAGAACGTGAATGACTAGTGGTACCGTTTACTGACCAATACACAGAAACAAAGAGGATAACAATGTCTGTTTTAAAACAAAACCTGTGGAGGAACTTGCTAGTACGGTTACACTGAAGAGCTGAAAATCTAAAAATCATAAACAGAAAAAAAAAAAAAAATGGAAGCAGGAGCTCGATGAAAACCATGTGACTCGACAGCCTTAGCGTCTGACGGTAACCCCCGGCGACAGCGATGGATCCAGGTGTGCTCTAGCTCTCGTTGTCTTCGTCATCGTCGTCCTCGCTGACGAGGTATCCGCGGGCGCCGCTGTGGTGGGGGGGAGGCGAGGGGGGAGGGGAGGTCTTGGTGAAGAAGGGGAGGCGGAAGGTGGGAGAGGGGGAGCGCTCCTCTCTGGAGGGGGAGCTGTTGGGGCTCTGCCTCGGGCTGATGGCCTGCAGCATGCGACCCTTCCCCTCCTTCAGCATGTGCTTCTGTCGAGAGGGGGGGGGGGAAGACGTTAGGAGGTCTGAAACATGTGGATGGGATGGATTCAGGATTACAAACTGTGCTTCAAACAATCAGAGAGCGGTTCTGAGGCTTTACTGTTTGGTTTGTCCTATTTCATTCAGCAACATTTGATTCACCACTCGAGCTGTTTTCCCGTCTTAATGCACGCTAATGTAGCCGTCTGTCTTTCTAAACTACAAAGAAAAAATATATAGTAAAACCAGTGTTGTAGTCAAGTCACCAATTCTCGAGTCCAAGTCCGAGTCACCCAAGGAGTGTCCGAGTCGAGTCCGAGTCATCATTACCTGTGTTCGAGTCCGAGTCCATGTCCGAGTCATCATTACCTTTGTTCGAGTCCAAGTCACCCAAGGAGTGTCCGAGTCGAGTCCGAATTACCTGTGTTCGAGTCCGAGTCCATGTCCGAGTCACCTAAGAAGAGTCCAAGTCAAGTCCGAGTCACAAGTCTTCATGTATTAATCTTCGTGGATATATGTGTTGAAATGTAGCTGCTCCTCTACATTGCTTTCATCTTGTCATGTTATACTAATATGTCTATTGAACTGCTGTGAAGCGAGTTTGGCTACAATTCTTGTAATAGGTGCTATACAAATATAAAGCTTATTATTATTATTATTATTATTGTAAATGACCTTTAATGTCTAACTATATTTAAAATTAGTTTTGTATGCCAATATTTTCCTATGGTAAAGTTTTCGTTTTGCACTTTTATTTTGATAGTAATAAGATCGGGACTCTTATTTTGAAGGAACTTTTACCGGTTAAATCGGTTTACCATAAAGATTAAGCCCCAGAAAGCACATGGCTACTTAGCATGCAACATGTGCTTTCGTGTTATCGGCTGAATCTTTATTTATTAGATCACGTTACCCTGATGATAGTGTTCAAGACAGCCTATACAGGACTGTCTCAGAAAATTAGAATATTGTGATAAAGTTCTTTATTTTCTGTAATGCAATTTAAAAAAACAAAAATGTCATACATTCTGGATTCATTACAAATCAACTGAAATATTGCAAGCCTTTTATTATTTTAATATTGCTGATTATGGCATACAGCTTAAGAAAACTCAAATATCCTATCTCTAAATATTAGAATATCATGAAAAAGTATACTAGTAGGGTGTTCAACGAATCACTTGAATCGTCTAATTAACTCGAAACACCTGCAAGGGTTTCCTGAGCCTTGAAAAACACTCAGCTTGGTTCAGTAAACTAAATCACAAGTATGGGGAAGACTGCTGATCTGACTGCTGTCCAGAGGACCGTCATTGACACCCTCCATCAGGAGGGTAAGACACAAAAAGAAATTTCTCAAAGAGCAAGCTGTTCACAGAGTGCAGTTTCAAAGCACATCCACAAAAAGTCTGTTGGAAGGGGGAAATGTGGCAGGAAACGCTGCACAACCAAGAGAGATGACCGCAGCCTTAACAGCATTGTGAAGAAGAGTCGCTTCCAGAATTTGGGGGAGCTTCAAAGACAGTGGACTGAAGCTGGAGTCCAGGTATCAA